AAATATTATTATAAAATAATATGTTACTAAATATAATTAGAAATAAACAAATATGTTAAAATAAATAAAAAAATAGATAAAAAATTTATAAATTGATAAATAATATAAAAGAAACAACTTCTTCCCTTCAAAATATTTTAATAATTAATAATTATTATTGGATTTCTATAAAATTTAATTGTTATACATTATACAAATTAATAAAATTAAATAACAAATTAGAAAAAAATTATTTATACTTTTGTTACTCATGTTCTCATTATTAGATGTCATTACTTTATCCTAATTGATTTTTGTGTGCAAAGAAAATTATTTTAATTTTTTTATTCTCTAATTTTCTTTCATAAAATTAAGGAAAAGGTAAAATAAAAGAATCCTTTAAAAAAACATATTTGATATTTTAGTAAAAAAGAAAATTTATCGATTATTAATTAAACATAATTTTATTAATTTATACAATATAAAAATGAATATAATTTTTATAAAAACTGTCATAATGAAAAAAGTTATGATATCATATTACTATTATATTATACAGGTTATCAAAATAATCTCACGAGGTAACAAATCCAATTTTGAGTACAAAGAAAAAATGGAGTAAGAATTAAGAAGTAACAACACTTAAAATTTACATTCAAATTTAAATTTGCCAAATTCAAGACTTGATTTTTGTTAAATGAAATATTCCATTCTTCTTTCCGTTAATAATAATAATAATAATAATAATAATAAAACTTCATTTTGAGAACAGGTGTAAAAATTAAAATGTTGGGAATCTAGTAAGGTTGAGAAACGTACACAATAAGCAAGCAAAGTGGAGAGTGAGGAGTGAAGTGGAATTCGAAGTGTCCCTCTGCGACTTTCTCCAACATCGTCACTCAACTTCTCAACCATCCAAAACCACACCGTTTCCATATGTTGAATCCCGAACCCCCACCGCCGATGAAACTAACGCCTCACCGCCACGAAACGACGTCGTCGTCTGCGCTGAAGAGGAAGAAGCACAGAACTCCCTTCGCACTTCCCCCATCCGCGGAAGTGGTCGACGTCGAATCATTCACGCCGATCTCCTTCCGAGGCACCACCAAGTCAAGCGCCATCTCCGTCGAGCATTACGACGCCGTTTCCACCCCCTCCCACGTCATCGATCTCACCGACACCGACGACGACGACGTTTGCATCCTCAACTTCAAGCCGCGAATCGCGAAGCTCCAGAAGGTCGAGGGAGAGTCTTCTTCCAACGCTGCTCCTTTCCTCTGCGAATTCTGCGTGGAAACCAAAGCCGCAAGCGACTCCTTCAGCATCCCCGGATGCTGCCACGTGTACTGCAATAACTGCGTGGCCCTGTACGTGGAATCGAAGCTGCAACAAAACATGGTCCACATCGGGTGCCCTGTGCCTGGGTGCAGGGGATTGCTGGAGGCGCATGATTGTCGCGCGATTCTCCCTTCGGGGGCCCTTGATCGGTGGGGGAAGGCGTTGTGCGAGGCTGTGATTTCAGCGGAAGAGAAGTTCTACTGTCCCTTCGCGGATTGCTCTGTGTTGTTGATTCGCGAGGGCGAAGACGGTGATATTAGGGAGTGCGAGTGTCCCAATTGTAGGAGGCTGTTCTGTGCCCTATGTAGGGTACCGTGGCATCATGAGATATCGTGCGAGGAGTTTCAGAACCTGAACGCCAACGAGAGAGAGATGGAGGATATAATGTTGATGAACCTCGCTAAGCAAATGCAGTGGAAGAGGTGCCCTAGTTGTAGGTTTTACGTCGCAAAATCCCAGGGCTGCATGTACATGAAATGCAGGTCACGGATCTTCTACTTCTACCTTCATGCAATTTCACACGAACTATCATTTCAGTTTAACAGACTAAATTTGACAGATTTATTGAAACTTTTTTGAGTATAAGAATTAAATCAACACTTTCTTTAAATTACAGAGACTAAAATATCAATTTTAAATTTGTAAAAAGTAAACATGCATTTAATTCTATATTTACCATATATTCTATTATGTATTTTAAACGCATAATTGGAGATTGATTTATTTGCTAAATTAATTACTTAAAGCGCTGTCATGGTTGCGAACCTTTATGTTGGGGACAAATATGGTTGGGGTGAGTCAAAAGATCATGAGGGTGAGGCCAAAATAACATTTTTAGATCGTATTTTAGAACCTTGAAATATGCTTATTTTTCCGCAGCATATATATTTTTGTACTATTTTTTATGCAAACTTTGAAATTTTGGGTTTCTTATGTTGTTGCTTAATCATTCTTCAATTGGAAGTGTAAATTGTAGAGAGCAGAGCACTGGCATATATGGTTCATGAACAACCTTCTGTGTCTTCTCTCTTTTTTTAGTGGATCAAGTTTTAGCAACTAGAAAAGGATCAAATATGTCATACGTGATGCATAGTATCGTTAGTAACTGAGGACATCTTTAAAACAGTTTGTTACACACAATTTCAGGGTTTCAATTTTTTCTACCAACGTTTGACCTTGCTCTGTTTAGATGTCACATTCTTAGGTTTTTTTGTCGGTTGATATTAAGGACCATGGTTATTGATGATTTTGTTTTGCATTCTTCATGCTACTCTTTAACTTCCACCACTTAATTATTGTTTTCAATAATTCAAGTTATCTAGCAGTGGTGTTTTTAATTTGCTTAGGGTTTAGAGTATACCGAAACGTATTACATGATTTTAAGAAGACAAATAAGAGATTGGAAAACGTATCTGAAACATCTTTTTTTTTTCTTCATCATTTGTTATGCCTTTTAGTTTGACAGTCTTTGCATTATAGTATTTGTTAGCTTGTAAAGAGTTCATAAGTATGATTCAAATCTAATTATTTCATCTGGTTGCAATACTATAAAAGAGGTGGGAAATTTTAAAGTCGTGTCAACGTTTCAGTTTCAGATACCTACATATATGTTTCATAATACATAAAAGAATTTTCTTGTATTTTGTATTTCAGGTGTGGCAACGCTTTCTGTTACAGCTGTGGAGCTCCTTACGTAGGTTCCAACCATAATTGCAACTACTGTGCACGCTAACAACACTTGAACATATTACGTTTCACCGAACGATATTAGTATATATAATGGCTGCAAGGAGGTTTATAGTGTATGACCTGATGCAAACTATTTAGACGAACATTATTATGCATTATCATTAATTTATAAATCTTACAGTTTATTTTAACTTTTTCAAATATTAGAACACGATTTCCAATCTGTTTCAAGTATGAGTTTATGAGTGCATAATACTATCTATCTTTGGCAGAAATAAGGTTTGTGTATTTTTATGTATTTATTTTTACTTGAAGTTCAAATCTGAAATGGTTTGTTTGACTAGGTCCATGTTCAAAGCATGTAGTAGTAATTAAAAATCCGTCAACAGTATTTGGGATCAAGTATATGCGTTTGAGCAATGTAATCCTGTGAGTTAAACATTGCTTAACAGTTTTTTACTTTAATATGAAGATGATGGATTTTTTTTAACTGAGAGGACATTCTGAGAGAAACTTACAAATAGTGTGTTGAACCCCATTTGTGGATTATTCCAAGTGACTATAAATAATGAAAACCATTAACTAAGACCCCGGATTGAAACATGGAGTGCTATGGGTGTAACAGGGCGTTATGAGACGTGGCTTCTTGGAGAATGTGATGTTAGGGTGTTATATTGAGGCCATATTATATGTTGAGTTTCAGTTGGCATTATATTGAGGCCATATTATATGGTGATACTGTGGCTGAGGTTATTCAGTTCTCGCATTATGAACCTAAGGTCTGAAATATTCCTTGTAATTGATGAACGTCGAATTATTCCAGGGGATCGATACTAATTGCGGCAGGGGGTGCACAAGTCCCCACTTTGTTACGTATATTGATCTTAATTTATTTGCTTTTATCTTACTTGAAATTGTTTGGAGAAAATATTGTAAGGCTTTCATATGGCCTTTAGTATGCCTTATATAACGACCTCTCGTGTCCGTGATATTACGAAATAATACTACATACTACTATAAATATATATACTAAAATAGTATAATAAAATATTTATAACATAAGTTGTTAATCAAGCAACTAACAGCAACTAACATCTGTAAAAAATTATCCATCTCCAGGCACCTCCTATGGCCTTTAGTAGTTATCTCTCATCCTATTCCTGTCATGCTCCCATATAACGTATGATTATCCCAGTCCAAATCATATGGAGACATGCAAAGGTAAGCTAGAGACAATAAACAACTCATAATAATTTAATATACAACACTACAACTATATAATCATCTTCGCATTCGACACATAAGACAAATAACATATATACTATACATTTTAACATCATTTCAACTTGATTCCACATATCAACACTTCAACGCAACTATTATACAAACCATTGGAATAGTTCCATATTCATCATAACAACAACCAACACATGTATTATACACCTCTCAACAACACATGTTTAAAAGCAACTTACAACACAGTAATCTATCGACACTAGCATCATCATCAACTTGTATACAAATAAGCAACTTACAACATAACAACACTATCATCATCTTCAACAAGATCAACATACAACACAATCACAACTTAACAACACAATAACATATGTACAACTCATATCAACAACAAATTAACTCATCAACAACTTATACGTCGTCATGCATTTCAACTCGGAGATCTCCTATAACGTGGTGAGTAGTCTAAGTGACTAGGTCCTACCGAACCGACAACACATAACCTTTTTTGCCTTGCTAGGTAAACAACAAATTTGGATAGAAATCCATAACATGATAACGATTTCTCAGACTTTACCACTTAAACAAGAAAGTATAGTACTCTGTTAGGATAGAATAACTGGGTTTAGGCCTACCACGACATTAGCTAGCTTAACTAAGCCACCTATGGGATTAGTTTATCGACTATCCTCCAAATACTACAACTTTCTGATACTCAGTTAGGAACTAAATTTCTGACTTTTTACTTTACTCATATTGGCCGCTTGTAATCGGTATAGCTCGACCTGACCCCTATACCGTGGTTACTTTGTACACGTATGCCTCGACCTTGCCCACACACGGGATCAACTAAGTCCTAGAGGAGAACAACACAACGTCCACTCCAAGGGACAAATTCCTAAGGAGGGTTTTTCAACAAATTGGGCTCTCAAAGCACCACAACTATCTCAATCCACACAATGAGATGAGCAACTTAAAAAACATCTCCCATAGTCCTAGTGATCAACAACTCATCATCACAACTTAATCAGCTTACAACTCAACAGCATAACTCAGCTCAACAACTTAAACAACATACAACTTTTCAACTCATCATCTCAATCAACTTTCAACTTAAACAACATGGTTATCATCTCATCAGCTCAATGATCGACTCATTTCATCTTTAAACAAAACAGTCAACTCAACAGCTTATTAGCTCAACTCATAATTTACAACTCAATCATCATAAAGTAATATCTTTTCAACACATGGCACAACATACAACTTTTTAGCAACATACAACTCTCCTCTAACAACTTAACAACACAGTCTACTAATAACATTTATATAAATCTTAACACATCTACACACTTCACATCATGCTTCTCACAACTCACAATATTATCATCATGCACTTCACAACTTTCAACTATATCATCTCATCATATTCCATAACATATAAATGTCCACACATAACATATAGCAACTTTAACCACACATCACATATTCAACACATTTCTATTTGGCACAACTACTCATTTAGTTTACAATACTATACTCAACATGCATCTCTTCATTTCACTTTCTACTCATCATATATCTCAATGTAATTATACAACTCCATACAACTCAAAAATAACCTCAAATTCAACATGAAATCAACCATGCATCAAAATCATCAAAAACCTTATTTTTCCCAAAACCCCGAAAAGTGAGAAAGTCCTCAAATCAATCAATGATTCTCAACATTCTTACTACATATGAGTTCCTAAACTCACATATAACCAAACAACATACAATCTAGCTTCCCAAGATTGGCTCTTAAAGCCAAGAATCTAAGAAGAAGAAGAAATATCCTCCAAAGCTTGACTCTAGAGCTTCAATCCTCCAAAAACAAGCTTTCTAGTCCAGAGTCCTTCTCTCAAAAACTTCTCTCTAAAACCTCCCTGACTCCTCAACTGCACACAAGTCCTATTTATAAAAATCTGAAGTGGCCAGAACGGTCCGTTTCGAATCCGGAACAGCCCGTTCTAGGCTCCATCATGTGCAAAATTTACATGCAGAATGGCCCGTTCTGGCACGTCTAGAACGACCCGTTCTAGAGTTGAATTTAACTCACAATGACCATTTTGGAACGACCCGTTTCAATCTAAGATTTACAGGCCTATTTAGTAGTTTGGAACGGTCCGTTCTGAGTTACTAAATTACCCATACTAGGCTTTGGGCCGTCTAAAACTTGTTATGCTACACCTTATACTAAAGTAGACTTTATTTTATAACAAATTTCAAGTTGCCTATATATATAATAAAAAAAAAAAAAAAAAACTTTTGTTTTATTATTGTTCATCAGATCGTATTCTTTAGTTTAAAACAAAAGTTATATAACAAAGAACAACAGATAAAAAATAAATAATTTCAAACCAACTAAATAAACTTATAAGCATGTTAGAATAATTAATAAGATGTAATTTAAATGATACGACTGGAGAAATAAGAGGATCTAACAATTTTAAAAGCATCTACTTATATAAGTGATATAATTTTTTTATAAAAAAAAATTATAT